AAAAAAAAACAAGATTTAACGTATCGACATTTCTCAATGAAATATGCATATAGGAAAGATTAGATAGATATAGATGCTCGAAAATAAAATAAAATAAATATAGAATGCTAGAGATTCATACCCTGTCAAATTTCTAATTATTTTGTATGTGATTTAGGAAGAAAAAGAATGGTATCACTAAATCTTTTTCCTGTACTGATAAATTTAATTTATATAATCAGAAAATTTTAATTTTTAAGTCAATGGTAAATCTATTATAATATGAATATGACAAATTGGCATAATAAGCCAGAACACTACAACACATGATAAAAAAAAAAATACATGCGAAAAATTACAGGTATGTATGGACTAAAAAAATATGAGTTCAAATCTAATTCTTTTATAGTACTTTGTTATGTTCATGTGTGATATTACAAATAAAATAATATTCAACTCCAATAAACCGAGATGCTTAAGTGTTGTAAGTTACATTAAAAAAAGGACTAAATCGCAAAAATAGAAGTACAAATTACCATTAGAATCTGAGGCGTGCCAGAGGGATCTCAGAGAGAAATAGGCGACGAGCGTGAACTTTTGTGTCAGAGCCTTGGAGGTAGGGGTGAGCATCGGTGCGATTCGATGAAAAACCGCACCGAACCGAAAAAACCGAAACCCGAAAAAAATATACATTTTTGCAAACCGAACCGCTCCGAACATGGATGAAAAACCGAACCAAAACCGCACCGAAATTTTCGGCTCGGTTCGGTGCAGTTTCGGTTAACCGCAATTAACTAAAAAAAATAAATTAAAGACAAAACTAGGGTTTTTATTACACAGTGAGAAAAGAGGGTGAATTGGAAAAGGAAAGAAGAAGAGGAAGAGAGATTGAGAGCTAACCTAAATTGAGGTCGGTGACGACGAGCGAATGTGACCAACCGACGACGGATGGGCTGATTCTGAGGGTGACTGGGTGAGAGACGAGAGAGATAAAAAGAATGACATTGAGTTGCGTGGCTGGGTGAGTTTTTGTCTTTTTTTTTTTCCTTTTTTTTTTAACATGCGTGATTTGGGAATTGAGAATTGAGATTTGATATTGAAATGCGATAACTTCAGCGACAGGGATGGATATGGATATAAGAATTTTAAGTTTTTGTAAATTGTTTTTTTAATGGTTAATTGTGTTGTTATTATTATTAAAGACAAACGGCCCAAGCTTTGGCCCCAAACCCAAAGGCCCAAAAGTGTAAAGTACAGTACAAATAAGTTTCATTTTAACACATTCGGTGCGGTTCGGTTAAAACCGTATCCTTCGGACACAAAATCGAACCGCACCGAACTATTTGCGGTTTTCCAAAATTTTAACCGCACCGAAAACCGAACTTTAAAAATCGAACCGAACCGCACCGTATACATCGGTTCGGTTCGATTTTTCGGCTTCGGCTCGATTTTGCTCACCCCTACTTGGAGGTTAGACGAGCCATCGAGACGAGGCAAGGCGTCGGACTTCGGAGGTGAGGCAATCAGAGTTTTGTTTCGGACTTCGGAGGTTAGGGTCGAGATGCGAGAATATGTGTTGAGAGTCGAGACGGGAGACGGAGTGAACTGAGTGAGAATTGGGAAGAGAGGCGAGGAGTGAGTGAGAGAGACAGAAGCGGCGTGCGCGAGAGAAGATACAAAAATCTCATAACTTAATTTCTAATTCACTTATATATTATATATAATGTGTACAAAATAAAGAAATAAAATCGAGGCGGGACGGGAAACAGGACCCGGACCTGGCCCAATTAGTTTACAGGTCGGGCCAGGTGTGGCTTGTTTTAGAAACATGGTAGGTTTGGTCCGCTCCAAATGCTCCGGGTCGGGTCCAAGTCGTTTTATCATCCCTATCCATGGGGAGATTAGATCTCTTTCTATTGAAGTTAATTTTGTTACTTTTATATATTTTTTTTATTTATATCATTTTAGATCAAATTTATATGCTACGTGAGTAAAATTAGACCAAAGCCAATTTTGGATCAAAATGTTGGCCCGAGAACAAGCCCAGCAATGCCCCGTGTATAAAACCTAACCTCGTCATATGTAGGGTTTGTATAGCTGCTGTATTGTCCATCGCCGCTTGCCACTCTATCTTCTCCCAAGCGAAACTGCTGAGCGGCCATGGTAATGCCGCTAAATACCCACTCGATCTTATCAATTTCATTTTATTTCTTGTGTGCACTTCTGTGCTGTGTTTATCTGTTTAATTCCATTTCTTGATCGTATCTGTTCTTCCTGTCTCAGATCATTCCCGAGAAGAACAGGAGAGAAATCTCCAAATACCTCTTTCAAGGTCGGTATAGAGATTCCATGTTAATTCCCGATAATAAAATAGTTATATTTTTCTTATTTTCTTTTTTCATTTTATCAGCAAGCATTTTGAGTTGGGCATTTTTCTATTTTTAAGTTTGGGTGTGCAGTTAATTTTTGTTTATTTTTATGTGTTAATTGATGTGTAAACAGAGGGTGTGTGCTACGCTAAGAAGGACTACAACTTGCCAAAGCACCCGGAAATTGATGTGCCGAATCTCCAGGTGATTAAGCTAATGCAGAGCTTCAAATCCAAGGAATATGTGCGCGAGACCTTTGCCTGGATGCATTACTATTGGTATCTTACCAATGACGGCATTGAGTTCCTCCGCACCTACCTCAACTTACCTTCTGAGATTGTTCCTGCAACTCTCAAGAAGTCTGCCAAGCCCCTTGGCCGGCCCATGGGTGGCCCTCCTGGTGATCGTTCACGGTACAAATCCACGTTTTTCATATTTCTGTTTTTAGGGGTAGATATAGATATTGGATGTGCAAAGTTACTTGCTTTGTGTTTCCCTTTGCTGGACTGTGCGTATGAATCCTTTGTAAGCTTATATTTTAGCTAGGTAGTTGCAAGTTCTTTTCTTTATAATGCCTTCCACTGGTATGTGGTCAACTAGTTGTGGCATAGGTACAGTTGATTGAAAATATGTGAAGAATGTATGATAGGGTTTATCTTATTGTTTTGCTGATTGAATGGGGTGACATCTAATTTATAATGTTGAAGCTTCTCAGTATCCCATTAAAAATGTTTACTATTAATACCGTATTTGCTTTCTATTTGATAACTCGAATCCTCATGTTTCTTTTTATCCCTTTATGATGATTGGACCTGCTCGTTGTAATGCTGTTGATATAGGTACTTTCTACTATTTATAGACTATGCATTTGTATAGTGATCGTGTATTTTCTGATTTGTTCACAGTGGACCTCCAAGATTTGACGGGGACAGGCCACGCTTTGGTGACCGGGATGGATACCGTGGTGGGCCAAGAGGAGGACCCCCAGGTGAATCTGCTGATCAAAAGGATGGAGCACCAGCGGATTACCAACCTGCTTTCAGGGTAATTTTTGTTTTCGAACTCTTACATTATCCATTTTTACCTATTTTGCTGCTGTTCAGTTTGTGATATCTTTATACACCTAGAGGCATATGGTTTTTATTTGGATCAAAATGGATATTGTCTAGTGTCATTCATGGTTTAGTCAAAGAATTCATCATTAGTTTTGACTTACTTCTCTAGCATGTTAACCCAGCAATTTTTTTAATTATTTTTTGTTGTATGACTAACTTATTCGATAAATTCACGTTTGCTTAATGTCTTGGGTTTCAACAATGGGTTGTCTATAATTGGTGTAATTGAGGAGTTGAATTTTTGTTTTCTTATCTCTGAAAAATGACCTGGTGGAAAGTGGATCTTGATCTTGATTCTTGGGTATAATTACAGTCCCCACCCTCTAGTGTGTTATCAATGGCGGATCGTGGCGAGACAAAAAACCGCCATATATATATGGCGGAAGCTTGGCAGAAAATGGCGGACTCTAAAAATATAGTATTTTATATAAAATATATACAAGACACACAAATACATAACACTATATTTAAGCTCAAATAATCTCAATTAATAAAATTATTTACATAAGAAAGAGCTAAAATTCAAAGCAAATTAAACAAATAAAGAGTTTAAAATGAAGGGCAGCCAGAAACTGAAAATTAAAAAATGTATAGAACATTAACAAAAAACTAAAAGAAAAAAGAAATACTAAAAGAAATAAATAAAAGTTGATAAGTTGGGCTCCCAAAGACGGTAGAAGATAAAAAAGGATCTGGAAATTAAAGAAGATAGTGAAAAGGAAAAAAACAAAAACAGAACAGGAAAAACGAAAAAGAAGAAAGAAAGAAAGAAAAATACAACTAATGATTGCCGGAAATTGGGTCGACGGTAAGTGGGCTCATTTGAGAGTGACTCTTCTCTGTCCTTCCTCTTTCTTACAGCATTAGGGTTTTTATTTTATATTTCTCAGCAGATCTGGGCTAATTTTGGTAAAATTGGGCTGTGCCCTGTTAGTTTTCCTTTTTTTTTTTTAGCCCAAAATCAGGAAAAAATCTGCCCTTTTATGCCGTCAGCGCTACACCGCCGTGGCCGCAATGCTCATGGCGGCTGCAAGGCGGCCATAACATGGCGGTCAGGTTATAATCGCCACGCCAAGGCGCTGCCATGGCCGCTATTTAACAGCACTGTCGCTCTCCAGCTTATGCTTATTTAGAGGGAAGCTCAAAATGACTTTCCAAAACTGCCAAATTTCACATGCTTGATCCCACTTGAATTTTCCCATTGCACGAGCAGAAACATTCAAAGCCCTTTTAATATTTTCAACAAAAGCATGTTTTATCTCGCCAAATGTGATAGCAAGCCACGCTAGAGTGTTTTGCTCAGAAGTCTTGGGATACATGACTTGTTTTAAAACTCTATCCTCATGAGATTTCAATTACCATCTTGATATGTTCTGCGCTGCTGAATTTTGAGCAACTGCTATGTTGTTTTTTTTTTTTTTTTTCAAGTATCTCTTATGCTATACTATGCATGTAACTGCCAAATTTCCGAGAGCTGTATTCTCTTTTACTTTTTTTGCCTTCTTTAGAAACCCCTGTTACAAAAATCAGTATAACGGTCGTTTGTTAATGAAGATCTATTTCTTTCTGATGTATGTGCAGGGTGCAGGTGGACGTCCTGGCTTTGGTAGAGGCTCTGGTGGCTTTGGCGGAGCACCTTCAAGTTAAAAGTACCTTTGTTAAACCATAGTTTTTGATAGGATTGTGAGGAGTTATGTGAACGAAAACTTGTGTTTTGCGTAAGAATACAGTATTGTCATGTGATGCTGTGCATCATTTATTTTCCTTAGTTTGAATTTATTTAGTGCCATGGTTGTCAAGTCTCATTTGATTTTTATTTCTAAACTTATACAATGCAATGGATTTTTCGGTCCGCCTCATTTGATTTTTATTTCTCTTCTCAATTAACTTCATTTAAATTTAACTCACTTTAACTTAAAAATGCAATCAAAATTCAAAATTGATTCGGCTTACCAACATGGCTAATATAATTAAATTAAGCATGATTATTCATTTATGTTTTCTTTTATAAAATTAATGATAAAAATGTACAAAATTATATATATAAAATAAATAAAAATTATATATTAATTAAACTAGTTCGACCATTGGTCTGATCAATGAACTATTGAACCAGTAATTTCACCAGTTTTATGACCGGTTTGATTTTCAGAACCTTCCGTATTCTATATCTTCCGTTCTCGTGATGGAAGCTAAGCGAGCCAGAGCATCCGCCTGAACGTTCTTGGTTCTTGGTATGTGTTTTAACTGGATTTGCATTTTGAGCATTTTCTTTCGAACGAGATTCAAATAGGGAATAAGTTGGAGCTCTTTCATCTCAAATTCTCCAGCAATGTGCTTGATGAGTAGCATAGAGTCGGAGAAGACCCTAAGGCTAGACAAGTTGATTGATTCGGCTAATTCGAGTCCGGATAGAAGCGCTTCGTATTTGACCTCGTTGTTGGTGGCGAATAATAGATACGGATTCGAATGAAAATATAATTTTTGAGAAATGCTTTAGGTACATAATATTGTACATATGAGTGTACATAACACTCACATTGAGTGGACCTGCCAAAAATAAAAAATCAAGTGGACCTCACTCCATGTGAGTGTTATGTACACCTCATTGTACATTTATTATGTACTTGTAGCATTTTTTATAATTTTTTAGGGGACTGATTAAGATGATTCCACACCAGTCCCATTTGTGTTAGACAATCCGTCTACGTACATTTCCCAGCCTTTCGAGCTTAAAGCTGGCTCGATTACGGGGGTGAACTCGCCTAAAAAATTGGATAGAGCCAGGCCCTTGATGGCGGCTCGAGGTCGGTATTTCATATCATATTGTCCTAACTCGACCTCTCCCATTTCTTCATCCTTCCCGACGCATTCGATTGATGTAACTTTAATCTCATGGGGTAGGCTGACAAGACCGTAACTTGATGTTTGAGGAAATACGGTTAAGGATCCGAGAAACAACCACTAGCAAAAAAACTAGCTTTTCAATTGACGGATAGCAGAGCTCCGCTTTGTGGAGAGATTTGCTCACGTAATAAAACCAGATGCTGCGTTGAACCTTTTCCCCGAACAAGAACAACACTCACAATCGATCGTGTGCTCCTAAATAAAGGGACAACATTTCTCCGGGAATTGGCTTCTACAACACCGGGGTTTGGATGAGGGCTTTTCTATTATTATCTAAAGCGTCCTGACACTCGACCGTCCATTCGAATATTTTGTTCTTTTTGATTGCCTCGAAGAAGGGTTTACACTTATCCGTGGATTTCGAGACAAAACTACTCAAGGCTGCTAACCTGTTGGTTAAACTTTGCATCTCTTTTATGGATTTCGAGAGTGTTAACTCTAAAATAGCCCTAATCTAATCAGGGTTAGCCTCTATCCTTTTTTGGCTTATTATGCAACCCAAGAATTTTCCCGATCCTACTCTGAACGTGCACTTTTTTGGGTTTATCACCATCGAGTAATCACGTAAGATAGAAAACATCTTATTAAGGTGGGATACATGATCAATAGCACGTACAACCTTAACTAACATGTCATCTACATAAAATTTCATCACATTTCCAATAAGATCTGCAAACATCTTAATGACCAACCTTTGATCTGCAGCCCCCGTTCTTCAGAAACTTCCATCGCATTACCAATAAGATTCGCAAACATCTTATTGACCAACCTTTCATCTGCTGCTCCCGCGTTCTTCAATCCAAACGTCTTCATCTTATAACAATAAACTCCCCTGGCTGAATAGAAAGAAGTGTGCTCCTTGTCTTCATATTCATTAGGATTTGATGATAGCCTGAATACGCGTCCATGAAGCTCATGAGTTCATGTCGCACCGTCACGTCCACCATGTAACTGATATTCGACAACGGATAGTTGTCCTTTGGTCATGCTTTGTTAAGATCGCTGAAGTCCACGCATAGTCGCCATGTCCCATTGCTTTTATTCAGCAGGACTGGGTTTGAGACCCAGACCGGATATCTTGCTTCTCACACAAAATGGTTGCCTACGAGCTTTATTACTTCTTTTTCTTACGTTCCTTGTCTGTTCGGACCTAGCTTTCTTCTCTTCTAGACTATGGGCCAGATGGTCTTGTCTATTCGCAAGTTGTGGAAAGATAAATTGGAATCAATTCCTGTTATGAGTACACGCAAACACATGATCAGGATTTTCAGTTAAAACTTTATTAGCTCGGATCGGATTGGCTCCTTTAAATTCCTTCCAATACGTAGTTGTTTGGTGCATGCAGGTACATCAAGATAAGTGATCTCTGTTTCTTTGTTTGGTTCGACCCGATCTCCTTTCTTGCTTTTGAACTGGTCCCTGGGATCCAGCTTGTCCCACTCTTTCATGGGCTCATTTCCTTGTCGTTGGCCGGTCACTTGAACGATTCTCGCTGTCCGGGCTCTTCCATTCATCCGTTCTAAACCCAATTGATGTTTTTCGTTCTTTTGGAAGAGCATTGTCGATTGTGATCGCATCCTTGGTTAGAGGATGCTCCATACGTTCAAGTGGCTTACATGGGTCTATCTTGGACCTCTTTCCAACGCTTTCTTTCTCTCGTACATCCGTCATCGTGTGGATCTCTAATGATGGCACGAACATGATGCACTCCATCCAACATTTTGTTCTTTCTGATCGCCTCGAAGAAGGGTTTACACTTATCCGTGAACTTTGAGACAAAGCTATTCGAGGCTGCTAACATTTACACTTTGTGTCTCTTTTATAATTTTCTCGACCATACTCCGAATGTGCACTTTTTTGGGTTTGACACCATTGAGTAATCACGTAAGATAGAAAACATCTTATTAAGGTGGGATACATGATCAATAACGCGTACAAACTTAACTAACATGTCATTTACTTAAACTTTCATCACATTTCCATTAAGATTCGGAAACATCTTATTGACCAACCTTTGATCTGCTGACCCCGCGTTCTTCAGTCCGAACGTCTTTATCTTATACCAATAAAGTACCCTGGCCGAATAGAAAGAAGTTTGTTCATTGTTTTCATAATAATTGGGATTTATGATAGCCGGAATACGCGTCCATGAAGCTCATGAGTTCATGCCCTTTCGTCACGTCCACCATGTAATCGATATTCGGTAACGGATAGTTGTCCTTTGGTCATGTTTTGTTCAATTTGCTGAATTCCACGCATAGTCACTATGTCCCATTGATTTTATTTCACAAGGACTGGGTTCGAGACCCAGACCGGATATCTTGCTTCTCGAACAAAATGGTTGTCTACGAGTTTTATTACATCTTTTTCTGGCGTGTCTTGTCTGTCCGGACCCAACTTTCTTCTCTTCTAGACTATGGGTCGAATGGTCTTGTCAATTCGCAAGCTTTGGCACGATAAATTGGGATCAATTCATGTCATGTCCTCGTGACTACATGCGAACACATCAGGATTTGCAGTTAAAAACTTTATTAGCTCTGATAGGACTGGCTCCTTCAAATGACTTCCAATGCGAAGTTGTTTGATGCACGCAGGTTCATCAAGTTTAATGATCTCAGTATATTTGCTTGGTTCTGCCCGATCTCCTTTCTTGCTTTTGAATTGGTCCCTTGGATCCAACTCGTCCCTCTCTTTCATGGGCTCTTTTCCTTGTCGTCGGCCTCGGTCCCTTGAACAATTCTCGTTGTTCGAGCTCTTCCATTCATCTGTCCCAATCCCAATTGATTTTTTTCGTTCTTCTGGAAGAGGATTCACGACCGTGATCGCATCCCCGGTCAGAGGATACTCCATACGTTCAAGTGGCTTGTATGGATTTATCTGGGGCCTCTTTCCAATGCTTTCATTCTCTCTTACATCTGTCATCATGTGGATCTCTAATGATAGCACGAACATGATGCACTCTCCAGCTTTTCTCTGATCTCCGTAATGAACCCCAATTCCTTCAGAAGTTGGTAACTTGAGTGAATTAGTAAAAAATGGATACGGTTGCACGGAGTTTGTACACGCAGTTCGTCTCGATATCTCATTATATCTCTTTCATGCTTGACGATCTTAAAGGTTTCAAGGATAGTTTTTCCCGCCTGTCCCCTCCGAACTAGACAAACAAAGTGATCTCTCTTTCCGGGATGGTGGTGTATCCGTCAAACACTTGAATTATGTCATTGCACGGATGGATCTCCTCGTGGTTGATGCCCATCTTCATAAAGGTGTTCCAATACAAAATGCTCGCATAAGCGCCTGTGTCTACCATGATCTTGTGGATTGGAATATAAGAGATTGGGGTCGTAAGAACTAAGGCATCCGAGTGAGGGTGATTCAATGGCACGAAGTCTTAATCCGAGAAGATGATGGGATTTGTTAGAGGAGGCGACCACTTCCCAGCCTCATCGCGATTGATCTGGTGCCCCGAATTGTATGTTGGGATCTATGAAGATATCGTTATATACAAGTCACGAATTCAATAGCAAAACGTAAACATATGCGCAGCGGATTTTAAAGTTTGCATAGAGAACATACGACTTAAAATTTATGGCGATCTGGCTGATCTTCTGGATGGTCGTACACAGCACACGAATGAATCAGATCACACGAATGGTTGATTGCAAATCACGTCTTGGGACTGCACGAACAAGATCGGATCAAAAAACGGATCAAAAGGATCAAACATGTGCAAACAGATG